GTCCAAAGTACGTGAGAGAAGATTTGCCATCCACGCTTCTAAGCAGCATTCTGGCTGTGTTTCTTCCAAGACAGATCAGGGCCAGGCATTTCTCAGCACCTCCTTTCCCTACTACTTTGCAATAATAATTAAAACCCCTTAGCATGAATGTTGCACTTATTACTAGCCACCCCATTACAGATGATAGTGCAACCTTTTTAGAAATCAACGTCCACATGAAAAGATGTTCATCATTAACTATTGGGAAAATGCAAATTAAAACCACAATGACATCACTACCTGCCTATCAAAATAGCTAAAATAAAAAATAGTGACAACCTCAAATGCCGGCAGATGCTGAGAAATATACGTACATTGCTGGTGGGAATGTAAAATATTCTAGCTATTCTGGAAAACAGATTGGCAGTTTCTTATAAGACTAAATATTCAATTACCAAATGACCCAACAATTGCACTCCTGATCAGTTATCCCAGAGAAATGAAGATCTATGCACCAAAAAAAAAAAACTGTACAAAAGTTTATAGTAGCTATATTCATAATAGCTGACATCTGGCAACAACCTTGTGGTAGAATAATGGCCTCCCAAAGATATCCAGGTCCTAATCCCCAGGACGTGTGAATGTGTTAACTTCATAAGGCAAAAGAAATGTGATTAAGTTAAGGATTTTGAGATGGGGAAATTATCCTGAATTACCTAGGTGGGCCCAATGTAATCACAGGGTCCTTATAAGAGGAAGGTAGTGGGTTCAGAGTCAGGAGATGGGACCACAGAAGCAGAGGTCAGAGAGAGGTACTTGAAGATGCTATGCTACTGGTTTTGAAGATGGAGGAAGGGCCCCAAGCCAAGGAATGCAGGCAGCCTCTAGAAGCTGGAAATGGCAAGGTAACAGACTCTTCCCTAGAGCCTCCAGCAGGAACCCAGCCCTGCCAACATCTTCATTTTAAGACTTCAGCTCTCCAGAACTGTAAGATAATAAATTTGTGTTGTTGTAAGCCACTAAATTTGTGGTAAATTTGTGGTAATTTCTCACAGTAGCAATAAAAAACTAATACAAACCCAGATGTTTTTCAGTGGGTGAATGGTTAAACTGTGGTGCATATATACCATGGAATATTACACAGCAATAAAAAGAATGAACTATTAATACACACAACAACTTGGATGAATCAACAGGGAATGATGCTGAGTTAAAAAAAAAAAAAAATTCCAAAACGTTACATGCTGTATGACTCCACTTTTGAAAAGACAAAATTTTAAAAATGAAGAACAGATCAGAGATCACCCACAGTTAGGGAGATAAGTGTGGTTTTAAAAGAACAATACAAAGGATCCTGCAGTGAGGGAACTGTTCTGTATCTTGACTGTGGTGGTGGATACGTGAACCTATGCATGTGATAAAATGGTATAGAACTAAATGCACACTCATACGTTCTCACAGTTCAGGTAAAACTGGAGAAACCTGAATAAGATAGGCGAAAGGCATCTATGTCAATAGCCTGGTTGTGATATTGTACTAGGATCGCATCTCTCTATATTATTTCTACAAGTGCATGTGAATCTACAACTATCTCAAACTAAAAGGCTTGATTAAAAAAAAAAAACACACAACCCAATTATAAAGCATTAGTAAGATAGATTTTGTACATGGTATTGTTATTGTCCAATCTTGATCACAGAATCTCGACTTTAAAAGCTAAGCGTGGTCTACTTGTTATAAGTATATAGCAATAGATTATCATTACAAAAGCAAGTTATTTTCCTTGTGAAAAAATAAGAAAAAACAGATAAGCAACAAAGGGAGACATCTCATTACCTTGATAACTGGACACGTATTTTTGGAGATCACTTTTTCATATAGCAAGATATCCTGTCAACAAATATATTTTTAAAAATTTATAGGCAGTCCCCGGGTTAGGGACATCCGACTTACATACAACCCGTAGCTACAAACCAACCCCCACAAAGCCTATTATATTAAAGATCTGAGGTATATACAATAGTTTGTAGTAACAAACAGGTACTGCTTTGTTATGTGCATCAAAACATGATTATTATTATCACTATATTATTATGTTAAATATGTCTTAGTGTACCTGCTAGTGTTTCTTTAATGTTTTTTTATGCATAGAAAGGTACACTATATACTACTGTATGTACTAAGACAAACGTTTGACTAACTGACATTAGATACAAACCATACCTAACTGTTCTGACTTAAGTACAAATTCGACTTAAAGACAGACTTAGGAACGGAATTCATTCATAATCCAGGACTCCCCGTACACGCTAAAAAAATCAACATCAAGTCCAATTTGCCATCTTTTCCAGTCATCTTTAGGTGTGACTGCTCCAACCTTTGCTTGTATTAAAACTTACTAGAATGCTCCTTTTGAAGTCATTCTAAATTCTCTCCTTGAAGAAGAAGCATCCTTCAATGCAATCTGACTTCAACATCCAAGTTCTAGACCTCAAGCCGGGTCCAGGCAACATTTCTCACCATCTCTGCTGTTATTCCACCTCTGCAGTTGGTGAATTCTACGCAATTACAGCCTTATTAAAGAACAGTCTTGCTTCGTTTTTCAGCCACCAGAACCATATGGGACGTTATAATATCTATTTCATAGGTGATAAACATATTGACCAATAATTGCAATACAGTATAATAAGTTTCCTAAATGAAAGGTATATTAGCTATCTTTTGGAAGCTATTTTTTAAGCAACCATCAACATTTAAAATATCCTCTGATATAGCAATTCTGCTGGCAATTGATTCTATACCCAAAAAATCAAACCAGTTGCCATTTAGCCAATTCTGACTCGTGTTGACCCCGTGTGTTTCAAAGCAGAACTTCCCTCCATAGGGTT